GTCTCTTGAGTCCAGCCAAGTCTGGGTGCAGGGATTTGGACAGGTTGTAGAAGGTAACTTTTGGGGAGACCTAACATATGATTTAATTGATGTGAGGAACTCTCAGTGTGGACATTTCCCCACTTTATTGCATATCAGTAACTTATCTGTAATTTATTATCTTAGAGAGTTGTTTGGTCCATTGAGAAGTTAAGTGACTTTAACCCAGGTATTCCTGACTGTAGTTCCCTCCCTCTCTCTACTGGGCCCCACTGTTTCTTATGTTTTTAATATGTCTATCAACCCCTCAAAGTCTTAAACAATCAGATGCTTAACATTTGCCGCATTTTAATAAAGTCAGGCTGGGGCAAGTTTTGGAGAATTTTGAATTTTCTGGTGAATAGCTTCAGTCTTACCTTCCTGTTGTAGCATGGGCTAATCTAATGCATGGCCACTATGATCTTAGTGCATAGGAAGCCATCAATTTCCTTCCTTTCTTATTTTGGATCCCAGTGGGTATTTAGGAGCCATTTATTATTAAGATGAATAATTGAGCTTCCATATACATATTCATATATATATATATATATATATATATATATATAATATATATATTATATATATATATATATATGTATATGAAAGCAGGGGAATATGGATCAGGTCTAATATTCCAGTTGGAGGCCTTTGACTCTGAATCTAGGCAGGTAGCAAGGAGCTAATTCCATTTGGCAATATAACATGTTGAACACATTGAACCATGCTGTTTTGTAGTAGAAATGAATTTGCTGAATTTGCATTGAGACTAGCCAAGGAAACTGGGTTCAAATCCTAACTCCAACACTAAACTAGCTGTGTGACTGTGGGCAAATTATTTTGCCTCTCTGAAACTCAGTTTCCTCACCTGTAAAATATAGATATTACTACTTATATACCATGCATCAAAGAGTTGTTGTGAGGAAAGTACTTTGTATTCATTAAATTTTAAAGAAACAGCCTAGGAACCACATTTTTAGGAAAGACGTTGATAAGCTGTAGGAAGGACATTGATATCCAGAGTTGGGCAGCCAGGATGATAAAGTCCTTTGAGTTCACGTCATGAAGATGGGATGGAAAGATCTAGAAATATTTAATCTTAGTTTCCAGGGGCCAGAGACTTAATCATTTCAAAGCAGTTCTATTCTATTGTTGTTTCCACTTACATTGTTGTATTCTTTGTATATATTGTCTTCCTGGTTCTGTTTACTTCACTTTGTATCAGTTCATATAATTCCACCTGTGCTTCTTTGTATTCATCTTGTCTCACATTTCAGTAACATTTTGTTCTGTTCACAAGCCACCACTTGTTTCCATCAACTACTGTTTTCCCCCTAGTTCTTTACTTCTATAAAAAGTACTGCTATGAATATTTTGGTGTACATGGGGCCTTTCATCTTATCTTTGACTTCCTTGGTGTATATGCTTATGATATGGACATTTTAATCACCACTTAGCATGATTTCAAATTGCTTCCGGGATGGTTGAACCAATTCACAGCTCCACCAACAAGGCATTAGTGTGCCTATATTTCCATAACCCTACATAAAGGATTCCTATTAAGGTATAGGAACTATATAGCCACTGAGATGCTTTTCCTCTCTGAAATTCCATTTCAACAATGAGAGGCATTATTAATAAATATTTAAATAGAATGCACCTTGTTAAAAAAATCAAAGTGTTAACATCTATTAGAGGTTTGGCTCATTTTTTAGAAGAGGTAACCAATGCCATGGATCCTTCTTCCTTTTGGGAGATGGGTGCTCCTTTGGAGGTTCTATCAGCTGGGGAACCAAAAGGCATCTGTTTCATAGATAGGAATGTAGTGAGAAATTCACATCAGATATAAGGGGGTGGGAGGGAAGTGACTCAGTTGAGGGCGTGTAGCCTGAGGATAGCTTCTCCAGTCTTGGGCCTTTGCTGGCTCCTGAAGTCTTTAAGGTGTTTCACTTTGCAATTTCAAGTTTCTCGGATCAATACCGTTTACCTCTTAGAGGAGAGTGGTTCAGTCATAATGTAGAGGAGCCATATTCTCTGAACCTACTAACATCTATGAGGTCAAGGATAGTGTTTATCTGAACTTTTTATCTCCTCTGTTGAATGAATGAATAAATGAATGAGGTGGTCAATATCAGTGACTGAGTGCTGAAGTGACCTGTACAGAGATTGCCTATGGGGATGATCTTAAGGAAAGATGAGACATTATTCACTCCCCTGTGAGAGCTCAGTCAAATGGAAGAAATGTTTTTACTTTTTTGGAGGGGTGGGGTGGGGTAGGGGAGGCCTCCTAGACTAAGTCACATTGCTTTTAAGCTCCTTTGTGGGGCACACTAAGTTAGCTATAGTTAATTCCTGGAAATTAGGGTGAATTCACACTTCTCAAAGATGAAGAAAAAGAGATGGCAAAATTTCCTTATTGGTCTGATTATCTGAGTTTTTGGCCTGAGTCACTGGAGTGGAGGGTATGTCTATGAGATATTTTTTTTCCTTGCCGTGTTAGAGGAAGTAGATGAATCTGTTGTATTGAAACCAGCAACAGATGTGAAACAGCTGTGTTGCCATGTAGCTGCTAGTCAAATAACATGGCATATTTGGTCCATGTGGACACAGCCAATAAGATTAATTGCTTTAGAAGAGTTGCTGAAAGCATTCATCTTTGTCTTCTTGGAAAAGATTGACTTAGTTTTAAACTAAGGTATTTGCTAATCCCTGCACCTGTGCTCCTGATCCCATTCCTCTCCTGCCTCCTCGGGGAATTTGCCTTCTTAATCATCCCTCCTCTCTCATTTAGCATCTTCAATTTTCCTTCTCTGCAGGCTCCTTCCTTTTTAACTTCAAACAATGCATGGGCTCCTCATCCTGTGAGGACCTTTGCTTAATCCTGCTGCTGTCACAAGCTACTGTCCTTTTTCTTCTTTTTGTATAAATTGCCAAACTTCTTGAAGTGGTCTATGACAGAGGTGTCAAACAGATGGCCATGCCTACATGACTACACCCGGCAGCACTCCTGAGTGTGGCCAGAACCAGATTAAAATGTGATGGGAAAATAGTTAACAAAATAAATAAAAAAACAATTAAACATAGATAACATTACATTTCAAAAGTAAGTTAATAAGCAGCCCACAAAGATCTTTATGTATAGATTAGTGATCCCTTTTCCTAATGAGTTTGACACCAATGATCTGCACAAGGGGTGGGGAACCTGTGGCCTCGAGGCCACAAGTGGCCATGAGGCCACAGGTTCCCCACCCTGGCTCTGTACCATACCCACAGTCTCCGTTTTCACATTTTCACCATCCACAGATCACATTTTAACCTGCTTCAATTTGGCATCCCCTTTATCTCTCCCCTTACTGAAACTGTTCTCTCAGATGGCCCTCTAATTGCCTTCTGAATATTGTATATTTTCCTGTCTCAAACTGAACTCTCTTTGCTAACAACCAATACTAGTATCCCTGTATCTGTTAATGGTATCTTAATTCCTATGTATCTTGAACCTGCTTTTGGATAATTGGCTATATTCCTGGTTACGCCTTTCTTGGTATTTCCCACTCATGTTGGAAAGGCTGTGATGTGTTAGTGGAGACAGACTTGGTGTCAGGAGACCTGAGTTTGAATCCTGATTCTGACTCTTACTAGTTATGAGATTTTGAATGGATAACTTCACTTCCTTGAAACCTCAGTTTCCTTATCTATAAAATGCCTGCCTCACATTTAAAGGGCTAGAGAATGTGAACTGCTATTATTTTCATGGCCTCTTGAGCTCAAAATCTTGGGGTCATCTTCTATTTCCTTATCTTCTTATTCTCTTATCCTTTGCCCATGTCCAATCAGTCACCAACACCTACTGATTTTTCTTTCACATTGTCTTTCCATTTCTGCCATAGCCATCCTAGTCTAGCTCCCCATCACTTTCTTCCTGGATCAATTCAATGACTTTCCAACAAGTCTTCTTGCCTTCATTCTTTTGCTTAGACATTCTGCCAGCCTAATCTTCCTAAAACATTGTCATTATTATGTCATTTCTGCCCCTAGACCTTCAGGGACTTCCCATAGACCACAGGATAAAGACCAAACTCCTTAGCCTGATACTCAAGGCCCTTTGCAGTCTTGCCCCATGCTCTAACCTTAGCTAGCCAATCCTCTGTTGCTGCTTTCCTCCTCATCCTTCACATCAAGACTGACTTTTCTGTCTTTGTGCTTTGTCTGTGATGTTCTCTTCTGCCTACAATGACTTTTCCTTTCCACTTATCCAAATTCTACCCATCCTTTGAAGCTCAGCTCAAGTCTTAATTTCTCTGTGATTCTTTCTCAGACCACTGCAGCTGTGATCTTACCCTTCTTGGTAATGAATTATGCTACCCATTTGGCATGTTTTGCCTATTTTTCTATGTACCTACCTCATGTTTTCCTATCTTGTCTCCCGTTAGGCTGTATGTAGGCTCCTAGAGACTGGAGATGGGTCTCATACTAATCTTATGTCCCACACAATGCTTGGGCCAGGACTGGGCACAAAGCACATGCTTAACAGTTGCTTGTTAAATGAATCATTTGTTTGAAATCATCCATCCTGGGACCATAGAATGCCAGAGCTGGAAGAGACTTGAAAGATTTTGGAGCCAAACCCTCTCGTCTTTGGAAATACTCAGAGATGCTTTTTTTTCCTTCATCTAGTAAATTCTGTTGTCAGAAGCTGCTTATAACTTGGGACCGTAAGGTTTTTCTTTGGAATTTTTTTCTCTTGAAGAAAAAATTTACATTTGCAGAGAATCAGTTTCCATTTTCCTGGTTGTAGAGTGTAATCTCTTGACTGCTGGTTGTTCTTACTCATCTGGGCAGGTGCAGGATTCATCACATGCTTGTGGATTTTCCTGCCTTGCTGTGGTTCCTAGAGTAAGAGGAGAGACAGGGAGAGGGAGGGAAGAAAGGGAGAAGGGGACAGAGAAAGACTACATGAAACTTGTTATTGGTTTACATTTCTTAAGAGGTGGACATCTGCCAGAGCACAGGAGCAGCTGCATCTTGAGGATGGTGTTGTGGAAAGAATGCCAGACCTAGGAGACACTTGGATTCAGAGCTTGGCAGTCACTTTAATAAAGGTGAGACCTTGGGTCAAGTCAATTAACCTCTTGAGCCTCCCACTTCCTAATATGTAAAATGGGGATAATAACACTTTGCATTACCTTTCTCACAGAGTAGTTGTAAGGAAAGCACTTGGTAAATCTTAAACTGTTATATGATATTAGCTATTATTATCTTGAGACAAGGCCATTTAGGAGCCATGGACACTTAAAAGCGTAAACTTTTCACAGTGAAAGCTGTCAAAGAAAGTGAGCAAGATGGTGAGTTGCACAGTACAAATCACTCATCCTCCATATTCAATCAGCTGTCAAGTCACGTTAATTTTGCCTATATGATATTTCACCCCATCTGTCCACTTCTTGAAGTTTATAGAGCCATACGCTTATTGCCTGTGTCCTGAACTACCCTAATAATCCTCTGATTGATCTCCCTGCTTCTACTAGTCCCTCCTTTACGATCTGTTCCTCATATAGCTGTCCAAAGGATTGCCTTAAAGTGCAGGTCTTATCACATCCTCCCCTGTCTTGCTCATAAACCTTTCGTAGCTCCCTATTACCTCTTGGATGAACTGCATATTCCTCAGCCTGACATTTACAGCTTTCCACAAGCTAGCTTCCAGCTAGCTACCTTTTCTATCTTATTTCATATTACTTCTGTTATTGTACTCTACACTCTAGCTAGACAAGACTAGGAGCTGTTCCCTAGACTTTGGTATCTTATCTGTGACCTCCATAGATTTGCACAACCCCTACACCCACCCTCCCATACATGCTATGCATTCCCTCCTCATGTCTGCTGTTTCGAACCCTTCTCTAGTTCAAACTCAAGCACAGCTTTCTTTATTAAACTTTCTCTTTTGTTCCCCCACCCCACTCCCCTCCCCACCCCAAGCTGTTTTGGTTCTCAAAATCCTCAAATTTTATAATACTTTGATTTCTCTTGCCACTGTCATTCTTTACCTTGTGTGTACTTATTTGTGTATATTCTGTACTCCCAGGATAGAATATAAGCTTCTTGAGGGCTGGGGCTATTGTGGTTCTTTTCTTTTTGTATCCCTATTGTCTAACTGGGTGACAAACACATAATGAGTCCTTAATAAATGTTTGTTGAATTGACTTGCCTTGTTGACTACTTAATCTAATCTAAATCCAATTAAAACTTCTTAAGTGCTTATTTCTTACAAGATACTATGCTAAGCCTTAGAGATACTTAGCTCCTTTTCCCTCATTAGTACCTTGAAGTTTGGCCTTTTAGGTCTCAGAAATTGGTAGTTTCTGAAATTGGTATTGTACATGTGTATGTTTTTCCATAATCATTGACGAAGATCAGAAGAGAATTTGGACTGATGTAATTAGACTTTAATGTTCATTAGGTTCTTTCTGCAATTATGAGTTGTTTGATTCTAGTAATATTATATACACATATAAGAGGTTATTGATTAGGCAAGTTGGTATAAGGAAAAAGTATGATTCCAGTGCATTCCTGAATGGTTAAGCACCATTTCTGTGTTGTCAGTCAATGAACATTTATTATTGTGTGCCAGGTTCTGAGCGAGTGCTGGATTTACTGAGAAAGGTAATAAAAGACAGCCCCTTCTCTCATAAAGCTCACAGTCTAATGGAGGAGATAGCATGTCAACAATTTCCAAACAAGCTATATTTGTGAAAAGTTTGAAATAATCAACAGAAGGAAGGCACTAGAATTAAGAAGGATCAGTAAAGGCTTCCTGTAGAATGTAAGATTTTAGCTGCCATTATTGAAACCCACTTCTTGGAGGAAAATTGGATTTTAGGTGTGGTTTTGTCCTAAGCACTATATGTTTTTTGCAAATAACTGGGCTAACTGTAGTCATTGCTGTCTAGCTTAAGGATCGGATGGAATTTCTTCTAGGTGGGGTCATATTAGAGGGTCTGTTTGGTGAGAGGGGCTCCAGAACAGCCTAGGAGTTTTCAGCTTTTTTATTTACTACTTTGTTCTTGAAACCCCAGGCCCAGCAAGCATTTTTGTAAATGGTAGTCCTTAAGGCAGGTTTACCTGGTATAGGCCAGAATCTATGTGGCAAACAAAACACCCAGCCCTGGATGTGTTTGTGGTAAATTGTTTTTAGAGCACAGACCTGGGATACCTTCCCCTTATATCTTTTTTTTTTTTGCCTTCAACTTTTGCTGAATATCTCCTCTGAGCAATCCATAGATTGAGGGTGACATCCAGGCCGGGATCTGTTTGTCCAGCTCTAGGAAGGGATGAGTCCCTTCTACTTTTCATACCCAATTGTTCCTTGAAGGAAATTCCTTCAGAGGGAATTCTGGGATAAATTAAAAGCTCCTATTTCTTCTCTATCTGAGATCTCCAAATTCACACACTGAGGTCGGAGGGGGAGAATGGGGCAAGTGAAGTAAGAGCAGCCTCTTAGGTAAGTTAGCTTTAAAGGATGTTCTTAGATATTGGGCTAGTTTCAAGCTGCAGTCTCTAAAATGATAATACCTCATGGCACTATTCTTGTTTTTAATTTTTTTATTGAAGGCAATTGGGGTTAAATTACTTGCCTAGGGTCACACAGCTAATAAGTGTCAAGTGTTTGGTCTGAGGTCAGATTTGAACTCAGGTCCTCCTGACTTCAGGGCCGGTGCTCTATCCACTGTACCACCTAGCTGCCCCACATGGCAGTATTCTTACCAAGCACTCATGGGCTCTTCCTTCTTTGAACTAAGTCCCCATTGCCTATCATTCAGTTTGTTACTTAGGGTGTGTCTGATTCATCTTGTACTGACATTTAACTTGTATTATTACTATTTTTTTGGATTTGTATGTTTATGTATCTCATCTTCCAACTATAATCATACTCATTGAATTTTGGGTCATCCTACAACAATCCGGCAAGCATCTAGTTAAGCACCTGCTACTATGCAAGGCATTGTGCTGGTGATACCCAGACAAAACAAAGGATATCTCCTATTTATCACCAAGCTTTACTTTCTATCCTCCATATCCTCCAAGGCTTAGTATATAGCCTAGGAGGTTGGTTGAGGAGAAAGAAAAATTAAAGCATCTCTCTGGGCTTCATAAACTAAGGTGGGACTAATTTTGCTCATTTTATAAATGAGGAAATTGAGATTTGAGGACATTTAGTAGACCATGAGGGTAGGGTTTATTCTAATTTTTTTCTTTGTATACCCAGGACCCAACACAATAGCTAGTAATTATGAAAGGACTCAACCTGTGGTTTCATTGGCAGGAAGAAACTCTCTCTACCGAAGCAGATTAGCTACAATTTATAATCTTGGAGACCTGCTTAGAGCACTGAGAGGTTATATGATTCCTACAGGGTTACAGAGCTAGTATGTATCTAAGGCAGAGGCAAGACTTATAGGCAGGTCGTTTCTTCTGAGGCTAGCTCTTTGTCTGCTATGCCAAGTCTGCCTCTGAGGAAATATTAGATGCTTAATAGATGTTTGTTGAATGGACTTAAGTCCAACATGGCACAGTTTCTTGACTGTGGGGTCCCTCAGGAATCCTATCAATCCTAGCTTTGCTATCATGACACCAGGACCACATTTCATAGACTTTCTTTGCTGTGGACAAAAGGTGGTAATGTGGTTCATTCTGACCAGGGCAATGGCCAGAACTTGAGCCTGACATTCACAGAACGAAGTTGGCTTAGCTTCTTGATTCTTTCTGGCTATGACACTCTGGTGCCCAAGCTAGAAACTGCTTGACTGCCGAAGTGGCCAGATACCAAGTCTGTGGTGCTAAGTATTGTTTTAGTGTAAGTAAGAAGCAGTGGCTTATTTTAAGCTTATTACAACGTTAGCCCCAAGTGGGTAACAGTAAATTAATCATGGCATTAAGAGGGGAGTGTCTGGGGTAGACATGACTTCATGAGCTTGTCATAAAGTCTGAGCCTGCCATATTTCACTCTCCAAGGTTTTTGACTTTGAGAAAGAGGACCGCAGATAGAGTTATTAAGTTTTACGGAAATATTTTTACTGGGCAGAAGGTAGCTTTATGGTGAAGCTAGGAGAGCCAGTAACTTCCAGAGAAGAGCAAAGGACTCTTTAGTCTCACATTTTGTGGTATAAAAATATTATTTTATGGTACTCACTTTTTATTGAATGGTTTTAGAAATTGTGTCCATTTTTCTGGAGCTGGAGGTATGGGTTACCCCTCTTTCAGTCTGCTCTGAAATGGGTGACAGGGTGCCCTCTGGTTCCATACTAACTTCCTAAGAAAATTAGAAACAGCAATGATAATAATCATGATGCTTTTGAGTTTACAAAGTGCTTTTACATCCATTAGGCCATTGACCCTTAGTATAAGGAAAGAAGTAAATCAGGGATTATTGCACCCAATTTATAGGTGAGGGAACTGAGGCCCAGATAAATAAAATGACTTTACCCAAGGTCATTATGCCAGTAAGTGATTGAGACAGGATTAGAACCCAACTCTGTTAGTCAATGGAATTGCCTTCATCTCTCTCCATATTCCTCAGTGTTAGAGGGGTTAGTCAAGGTGTCAGAGGAAAGGTTGCTGTCAGTGTCTACTCCTGGGGGTAATTTGAACTTAACACCAGGTGTGGTATTGCAATTTGCAATTCAAATTCAATAAACACTTATTCAGTGTGTACTATATTTAAGGTGCTGTGCTATGTGCTGGGAAGGAGAATCGAGGAGTGTACTGTACTGTATGGACGTACTTTTAAAAATGTAAAGTGCTAGGCAAATGTAAACTGTGACGCATTATTATCGTTTCATGTGGTGTCTAAGGAGCTGGACCTTTTTTCCCCACCCTCACCCTCCTTGCACTAGTCAGGTCCTACCAGCTGGCTTTATTTTATTTCCAGTGTAGCTAATCCCTGGACTAACACTGGCTCACATTCAGAGGTGTGCTAGTAAATGTTTAACAACCAGCACTCCAAAAAAAAAATTGGAGGACACACTTTAAGTTTAACCTGAATTATTAACATTTTTTCAATCATTTTCTTAAGTCTAGATAATCAACAAAAGAATAAATCAAGCCC